TATTTTATTCTATTATTATATATGGACTAAATGAACATCATTAAGAGTTTGATGTAAATATTATTGTACTTAGTTAATAAAATACCTATTATCCATTAGTATTAATTATTAGCTATTTAGATAAACCCTGCGACCGTTGTTACACTCCCATCTCAAAGAAGATCTAAAGAAAATTCGTTATAACAATATTTAAATATTGCTTTGGATAATATTTTTGAAAAAATTCTACAAATTTAACATTTCGTGAACCTGATAATGGGTTTGGGAAATGTAAGGACAATGGTGACTTGAACATTTTAGTAATTAATATTAATCCATAAACATAATAATAATTTGTAAAAATGTTCCAGTATATCAAACACTATAGATCCAATAGGTCTGTTATACAATTTTTGTAAAACCGTTTTAATAACTGATAAATTACTCATTAAAAATTAAAAATCGACATTCCAAAATTATTAAATACAAATCATCTATTAAATTATTTACAGTTGTAAAAAAGAGGCCATATGACACTCTATAAGAAACACAATAATTTTAATGGATTCGAAAATGTTGCGTTTAAATATATTCAAATTTTGGATTTTTAAATATATTTAAACATTTTTAAATAAAAACATGGAATCAGCACGTTTTGTGAATCGCCTTGTATATACAAAAGACTAAACTTACAAAGGTGTTACGATGATAGTTTATTGAAAGGTGAAACATAAATAATATTATGTTAAGTTTTATTATAAGTCTATAAAAATGCATACCTTGTTTTGTATACACTCAAAATTACTGGTTAGGTGTACTACTCATATTAATTCAGATGTGAAGATCTCAATAGCTTTAACTCTTCTCTGACAGATCTTTTTGCAAATAACCAAGGACAGTGGTGGTTCGTGTTATGGGTCACATATGTACGTGTTAAACCAGCCTAAAAAGAAATATTTATTTATATAATATTATGTATAGATCAAATATTATTATTATTAAAAATCGAGCTGCTATAAAGTAGGTTTGGTGCATAGTTATTGAGTAGGCCACTGTAACAAATGTGTTAAATATGAATATAATTTTACAAAAAACAATTCTGAAGACTGATAAATCAATACTTTTATTTTTAAGAAAAGTTTATGTTATTTTATTATTGCTATTTTCTTAATTCAGTTGGTTGAACTAAATTTTTTCGTATWTATTTATAAATCAATATCGACATACCATAAAATTGTGTGAATAGGTTTACGGTATAAATAGTTTGAAATTAGTCTGTACGACTGTACCTATAGAAACTATTAAAATAAAAAATACTACGTAATTATAAAAAGTGTCAAGTCTCTACTATACAATTTTATTAATCTAATAGATGTTTGTTAGAATTTCCTAGTAGAAATAAAAAACATCCGATTTATTTTGTGTCTTGAATTTATCTGAAAGGTTCTATATATTATTGAATACTTTATGCGGGCAATCGTACACTAACGAACCGAATCGATTTTACTATAACTTTATTTCATCAAGGAGATTTACATATATTGTTTTTTTTTTTTACCCTTCGACTAATGATCCAGAAATAACTATGCATACTATGCAAGTAACTAACTGTAATATAAGGTGTGTGYTTTGCCAAAAAATCAGTTAACCATAATAAATTATATATGGGTTTTTTCATATATTATTTTTACTACTCAAGTTTCTGTTTTTATAGAAACCACTTTAAACAAATTGTTGAAAACTACACGAAGTGTTTAAAATGGGTTTAATGATGTATATTTACAAGGTAAAACGATTCAGTATCTTGGTAATAAATATATTTTTTAAGCATTGATAAGTTTTACTTATTAAGAGTATGGAATATTGTTCTTAAAGGTTTAAATCTCAAATGTTTGTAGTGTAAACTTTTACTTAATAAAATAAAAATGAAAATTTCATTAAAGTTTTAGATTTAATCATCGACTGCACTATAGCTTATTGTTTTTTATTTTTATTGAAACAATTTATCATATTTAAATATTCATAAACGATGATAAAAATCACTATACATAATTATAGATAATATGCAATTATTTATTTTATGGAAATACTCACATGATGTTGGTAGGTATGTATAAATCTATCAAATTATATTTAGGTAATTATAATATTTTATGTATTACTAATAACTTTGAAGATATATTTTTACTATCCAATATAGTAATATTATAAAGTACGAGAAATAATTTTATTATAGCTTATAATAATTAAAAATGTATATTTTATATGTCATAATTATTGATAATTATAATGAATGTTATATTKCCTAATTAATTAATTTTTTTTTGTTTTAGATATTAGTTGTGTATGAGTTAACGAAGACTTTAGGTTRWTTGATTAGTATTTATTGCTTAATATTTAATACTTATATAATTTTTATAAAGTAGATATTTGTTAGTTTATTACTAGGTTTTATTTATATTTTTATACAGTGGTTAGTCCACTGGTTACAGTAAGAAAATATAAAAAATAGCTAATCCTAGTACTTTTAAAAATTATCAAAAAAAAAAAAAAATGTATTAAAAAATTGGATAATCAAACGTAAAATAATGATATTTGTTGTTATTCAAATAATATTGATTGTAAAGACTAAAAATATTGTACTATTATTAGAATTATTATTTCCTATCAATAATGAAAATTTCAAAATTATATAATATATGTTTATGTTATTAATTAATTATATTTTTACATATGTATTTTTTTTTWATCAACAAAAATTTATCTTCAGTGACATAGGCCATTGGGTTTTATAATTATATATTATATATTGCTATTATAAGTTAATAATAACAATAAAATATGATATATTATGTGATATTGTTTGTAAACATAATAATTTGTAAGTTAAGAAATCAAAGTAGTCATATAAAATATTTTAAGTACTTTGAAGTACTTTGAAGTACTATTGTAAGCACTTATACAAATYGGTCTGAATTTCGTTAACGATAGTAATCCATTTTAAAAGTGATTATATTGGTATTGTAAGAGCTAGATACCTTTATACTTTTGTGTACATAACAAATGCACAATTAAATCAAATATTCATAATGTTGTAACATTTATAGTATTAAAATATAATGAACAAAGAACAATGAAGTTTAGAAAGTGTCAAAATTCGAAATAATGCAATTGTATTTAAGTGCCATAACTTTAAATATAAATCACGAATTTTTCGTTTATGCAAATTAATCTAATCATCACTAGTGTTGAAAAAAAATGTGTACAAATGATATACAAATTTTAAATCTTGTAACCATAACATTATAGTAACGTTATAATAAATTTAAGATCCTGATCATAAGAAATCAACTAATCTTATTACAGACTAGTTGTTGGACTTGTAACAATTTTTTTTTTCTAAGATAAAATTTAGATTAAAACACGTATTTGTGTATAGTTTCAAAAAATATGTTTATAAAAATATATTATACATAATTGTGAAAATGTCCCCATTGTATAGTAGATGTCAAATGTACTTCGTCATTCAGTAGATAATATTGTAATWAGTGTGTTCCATTTTGAATTCAGGAATAAATAATAAATATTGATCAATGCATACGTAAATTTATACAACGAAGTATATTTCATTATATAATTAATTAAATAAATAAGTATTGGTATTTGTAATTTATTTTTATAGATTTAGTTAATATTAATATGGTTTTTTGAAATAATTTTGCCAGAAAACATTGTATTTATTATATTATTAATTATCATAGGTACACATAAAGTTTATACCATATACTATTATTTTATTTTTTTTACTCTCGATAACGGCAAACAGGAAAATCCAATATGAGAGTAATAGGTAAAAAATTTCTTACGTAAATTCTTACAAATTAAATGTGTAATTTCCTACATGGCAGTAAAACTACTATATTATGGAAGTATGGTATACGGAAAAAATTACTTGTGTTGACAATAAAAATGAATTTATTGATAGCAAAGTGTGTTTCAGTTTTACTACTAGAATATTATTGAGAAGTAAAAAAAAACTTCTATTTAAGTGTAGGCTCCAGAATATCCATGGGTATTTCTCAGAAATCGATATAATTATATTTTGTTTTTATCATCCACGTCATATCTATGCGAACGAGTATTTTCTGCTATGAAGAATATAAAAATTTGAACCTAGTAAAATTTGTTTGAATAATATTGAACTTGATTTGTGTATAGATGTTTAAAATTTCATGTTTTATTCCGAATAGAAGAAAGAAATCTGAAGGTTCAAGCATCGTATTCRTTTTGTAAAGTTAATAAAATGTTCAATGTATATTTWAATACACCTATAAAGTATTAGTATATACATGGTRATCCATTTAAGTGGGTACACTAATTATCACGAAAAGTATAACCTTTTTTTTTATTTTTCAACTTTTAGGTTTATGWTTTTCTAAAACCGTATAATATTAAAAAWTTTTTTACTCTTATATTTACTGKTRAWACCACTATCAACTTTTGATTTTTAAATCRTAAATATAATAAAAATATCATGAACTAATAAAATAATTTTGATCATGAATTTACACATTATTATTTTTATTTTTTGTTTATTGGTTTGTGAGATAGAGCTCCTCAAAGTATTGGTGGTTTTTACTATTTTTCCAATAATTTTAAAGACCAAAAGCTATATAGTGATAAATTCGATATCGCTGAATCCAAGGTTACAAAATAAATAATAATTAATTAAAGATTACTATTGCACTTTGAACCCTAATCAATTATTAACTTATCGACTAATATAGTTAAATAAGATTTATTTTGTTACCTTGGATTCAGCGATATCGAATTGGATCTTGGTCTTTATAATTATTGGAAAATAGTAAAAACCACCAATACTTTGAGAAACTGTATCTCACAAACCAATCAACGAAAAATAAAAATAATAATGCGTAAATTCATGATAAAAATGGTTTTATTAATTATTTGATATTTTTACTATATGTATGTTACCATTTAAAAATAAAATATCATACGGTTTTAGAATATATAAGCTTAAAAGTTAAAAAAAAAATCAATAAAAGTTAATACTTTTCGAAATAATTAGTGTACCCACTTAAATGGATCACTCTGTATAAGCTTTTTATCTAATTTTTAATTAGAATTGTTTTTCGGAATTATTTGGAACGTTACCATATATACGTTATCTTATATAATATATAATATATGTGTATTGTATTTATTTATTCGTATGTGTCATGACAATTTATAAAAGAATTAAGTACGCTGTCAAGTAAAAATGGTCGGAAATTCCTGACTTGGATAAAGTTACATTGATCTTATTAAAATTACAGATGTAAATATACATGCACGTGTAAAAAAACATGTTTTTGTGTGGGATCTTAAACAAAACATTATGTCGTATGATATCAAAATTGTATTTAAAAAAATGAATTCAAATCCAAACGTGTTCAAAGACACCTTGATTAGCGCTAACGTAACTTCTCAAGATGTAATTACTTTTACACAAGCTGATTTATATACAACTATTAAAACGGAAATTATAAAATAATGATACATTGTTACCTRCAAACTTATTTTTGCAATCAAATAACTATCTGTCATCACACTATTTTTATACATTCCAACTTATTATTTACCACCATTGTTGTTCATAAATTGACACATGTTAATGCATAAATGGATAGATACGATACCTATTTTATGCTATTATAAAATTATAATTTTTGTTCGTAGCAACGACTTAAATTGAAATTGTATTTATAAATAATGGATATTCGTCTGTTAGTTTGATATCTAGAAACTAGAAATCTACTGGACTGTTTTTAATAAAGGTACGCCTTGACCTATAGACTCCTTGCGACCTGGAGGGTGTTTTAAGCTTATTTTTTCAACTCTTATAGTCTTATAGGTAACTAAGGGTAACATAAATTTAGTTTTGGGCTTACGAAAATGTATTTATTTATTTTTGTAACCTAATTTATAAAGTTGTCTCATAGTTCACATGCAGATTACAAATGGTTACGAATAATAAAACATTTATCTTAATTATATATTTTTTCATTCGCTTATACGTAGTATGATTTTTGAATTCTAATCACACATTTTTTAATGCCTTATTATCTGTCAATAAATATTAAATAACTACTGATTATTTGAAATGAACTCAAACATTTGGTAGATCAACCAGATATGCAATGACARCCAGCAGATCTGCTGAAACATCTAAAGGCCGAAACGAATGCCGGGATACTTAGCGGATAAGGACCTCTACTTTGAGAGATGCTGAAATAGGTATCTGAAGAGTGACTCGCATGACGCGAATCTGAACGCTTATGACAGAGTCGATCAAGAACAATAATAGATCTCAATAAAGCGGAATTAAATAAATTATGATTATCCATTATTTCGTTTATTTAAATGATTGACATTGGTTATATACTAGCCGTCTCTTAATAGCAAATTTTGGTATAAGCAATGCCAGATGGGATAGCTAGTATTTTATTGAATATACCTAATATATCTATTAGTGAGACGTCTATAGAAAGTTGGTCCCAAAGTGCCGCTAAGTGTTGGGTAAATACTTTTGATATTATAAGTTCAAGTACTATATTATGTTATCCTGAAAATTGTATAAATGGTTATTGACTTATTAACACAGGCATTTTTATTTTTAGCCATAATATTGTTTGTTTTGTATTAGTTTGATTTTTAATGAATATTATATTATTTGTAATATAATATATGATATTTATTTATCTGRAATAGAAATAATTCTTCMAATATAAGAAAAAATTATCACAAATTATTATTAACTTTTGAATTTAGTTTTCATTATTGGAAAATTATTAGTTAATTAATAATTTCTTTTTAAGTTTTGACTTGTTTTATAACATTGAATAATATCAGATAATAAAAACTTTTTCAAGAGTACCTATCAAAAATTAAAAATAAATTAAAACTATTCACAAATTACAACCTTACATTGTTGTTATAACTTTATATTTTTATTTTAGCAGGTAATATGTATCGACGACACGAGTCTCTCATTAGTCAGGTGACCAAAACAGCAGATGACGTGCCTATGATCGTGACTAGATTGGCGAGCACTGAAAAGAACGACATTGATTACTATCCTTTTTCACAAGTACTGCGAATACGTGTCCTACAGGTAATATTCAAGGATTTGGATACATATCAAAGAGGGATGTTTATACGGGGGTTAATATAAAATCTTTTTTTTATCATAAATATATAGTATATAGAAACGCGCGAATGCAATTTATACGCGCAGATGATATGTGTGTCGAAGATTATCGTGAATAGTGAATTCAATATATAAAAGGGTTTTTAATTTGGAAATTGAATTATTGGAATGAAATTAATTTATCGCAAAAATAATCTCAGATTTAAAACATTAGGTAGTAGTTTTTGGGTAATTTTTATTGGTTACAACAATCAATATTAAATGTTTACTATAAAATATATCTTTTGATTTAACTATGTGTTATTATACGGGGTGTTTTTTCGTAATATTCTATGAATATTTGATAACAAGAATAAGTTAAATTAACAAATTAATGACACTGATTAATTTGAATAATACACTATTTACTATTCTTGTTTGAGAAAACTATTATTTGTTTATATTGTGGAATATAAATTATACAACTAAATTCTGTTTTTTCATCTGTAATCTATTGCTAATTAAAATTTCAATTTAATGGCATACGTTTTCTTATAAATTACTGTTGATAAAATAACATTTAAGTATATTGATTTTTCATGGAAATAATTAGGGCGATACGAGCCTTCTGGTACATAATAATAATAAACAAAATAATAATATAACGATGATATTTTTTTATTGAAATGTTACGTATTGCCAACCATTATCGTGTCGATGTACTTTTTGTGTAAATAAATGAAAAAACAAAATAAAATATTACGAAAAATGCTCATCTCAGTTGATAGTAGTATTTGATAAAATCATCCAAATATTTAATGAAACTTTCATTTCATCGAAGAAAAATGTTAGCTGTTTGAATTTT